TAGGTATAAATAACCTTCAGAATTTGATTTTAAATATGTGATGATGGTCAATTTAGGTTGATTTCCTGCTTTTCATTTGAGTGTTCTCTGAAAAACAGAAGCCCATTAGGCATGGTGGTGTATGGGGAAGAAAAAGCATGGACTGTTCTACTTATTCATTTGCGACTGGGGGAAAATCACTCTTACTTCTCTGAGCCTGTGTTCTTCATCTGTGAAACCAAGACAGTATCCCCTCTCATGCCTACTTACCCTGTAGGTATGAGGACTCATGAGGTAAAACAGCTACAAGTATTCTGTAAGGTCTAAAGTATATATTAATGTGGAGTCATCACTGTTATCTTTTGTTTGCTCTGGGTTATACCCATACTGGATATCCAGTAAAGATTTTTTAAAAAATTTATTAACCACAAATTTTAACTAATTCACTAACCAGTCATTGGGTGCCTATTGAGTGCCAGGCACTATATTTAGCATGTATTATGTAACCCTGTTGACAGAGTGGTTAAGTACTATGCTAACCAAAAGGCTGGCAGTTCGAATCCACCAGGCGCTCCTTGGGAACTCTCTGCGGCAGCTCTACTCTGTCCTATAGCATCACTATGAGTCGGAATCAACTCAACAGCAACGAGTTTGGTTTTTTGTTTATTATGTAACATGGTAAATACAGTGCCTGGCACTCAGTGGGCACTTGATGCTATTTAGTGAATTAATTTAGCATGTATTATGTAACAGAAAAAAGGAGCCCTGGTGGCTCATTGGTTAAACACTCATCTGCTAACCAGAAAGTCAGAGAGTTGAACTCACCAGTGGCTCCATGGCAGAAAGATGCGGCAGTTTGCTTCCGTAAAAATTTCCGCCTTAGAAACCCTATGGGGCAGTTCTCCCCTGTCCTATAGGGTCGCTCGCTCTGAGTAGGAATCGACTTCATGGCAGCAGATTTGGTGTTTTTTGTTTGTTTTTTGTTATTTATCTCTTTATGTTCTCTTTCCCTCAGAAGAATATAAATACCGTAAGGATTCCCCCCCCCCCGTGCTGTATATCCAGTGCCAAACAATGGTGCCTGGAAGTGGGTAGGCATTCAGATGCTTTTATAACCACTCTAGGCTAGGCTTTATTCTAAATAAAATAATAAATATATACGTATGTATATGTGTATATATATATACTATTAAGTTTTCCTAGCAAACATATTAGATTTGCTGTATTACTGCCCGCATTTCATAAATGTGGTAGCTGAGGCACAGACACTTTAAGTAACTTGCCCAAAGTCTCATAGCTGGCAAGTCATTAGACGGTATGTAAATATCTTCCTCCTGGCACTTCAGCGCTGAGATCCGCGGCTGGGCGTCTGGAAGGTGCAGAGCGCTACTGGGAACCAATTGGAAGGCAGGCTGAGGTCTGATGAGGGCTATGGTGCCAACCTCCCGATTTCCGGAGAATTGCAAAATATATGTCCCTGTACTCTGGGGTGGAGTGCACAGCATCTTCTGCAGCGGCCTGGGCGCGGAGCGGGATGTACTTCTGCTGGGGCGCGGGCTCCAGGGTTCGGCTGCGCCGGGAAGCGGAGGGCGGCGCGGAGCTGCAGCAGGCGGCCTCCGGCGAGCGCCACGCGCTGCTGCTGCTGAGCGATGGCACCGTCCACTCCTGCGGGGACAACAGCTGGGGCCAGCTGGGCCGGAGGGACAAGCCCCACGGGAAGCGGCCAGGTGAGCGACAGGGCCCCAGTGCGGAGAGCTGGAGAGCGGAGAGTGGGTCGGACGTCGGCGGGAATGGGGACAGGTAGGGATGTTGGGAACCTACGATCTGTTGGGACAGTTTTTGTGTGCCCTCCAGTGAATTCCAACGCACAGAGATCCCATGTGAAAGAGTAGAACTGCCCCATAGAGTTTTCTAGGCTGTAGTCTTTAGGGGAGTAGATCACCAGATCTTTCTCCCCCGGCGAGAGGCTGGTGTGTTCCAACAGCTGACCTTTCGGTTAGCAGTCCAGCGCTTAACCTTTGGGCCACCAGGGCTTCTTCGCTGAGCCAGAAGGGAGGGGAAAACGGTGCTCGGCTCTGCCCAAGCACAACGTAAGTTTCGTTTTCCAGACCTGCCTTGGGTTTGTTTCGGTTTCCAATTCATCCTTAAAAGCGAACTGAGAGCAGAAACTACTGGACCGCTCTCCTCTTGTCAGAGATGTAATCCATCTCGCTTGCCTTTCGAACTTCTCTCCTCACCTGTGCGGATCTATCTGGAAGAGTTAGACTGATCTTCCAAACGTGGTTTATGGGTTGGACACCTGTAACTCCCTCAGAAATACCCAGAGGCATCACTTTTCTTAAAAATTAAAAAAAAAAAAAAAGCATTGTTACCATTACTGATTATTGTAGAAAGATGGAGAAAGAAATCACTTATAATTCCAACACCCAAAGACAACTAATATTTTGATGCACTTCCTTTTTGTATTTTTCTATGTATATGTTTAATCTTTGTAAAAATCATGATCAGTTTTGTGAATGCAGTGTTTATACAACTCTGTAGATTGTTCTTTCATCACACAATAACATCATGAACATGAAAACCAAAAAACCCAAGCCCATTGCCGTCACGTGGTTTCGACTCATAGTGGCCCCATAGAGTTTCCAAGGTGGTGCCATGGTTAAGCACTGGCTTCTAGCCAGAAGGTTGGAGGTTCGAACCCATCCAGTGGCTCTGTGGGAGAAAGATCTGGCAATCTGCTCCCATAAAGATTACAGCCTAGGACACCCTATGGGGCAGTTCTACTCTGTCATATAGGGTCATTATTAGTTGAATCCATGGGACAGCACACAACAACAACATCAGAAAGAAATAGCTGGTCTGATCAAATATCATAGTATCCAAAGGGTCCCCCCCCCCATGCCCACCTTTTTAAATAGTAAGTATATTCCCATAAAGACTGTACTCCTACATTGAGCTTATTTCCTTCAGTCCTTTGGCATGGACTTTGTTTAAAAGCTCATTGGAGGAGACAAGGAATCTGATGACCCTGCTTTTTGAAGGATAAAAACAAAAACCAAACCTGATGTTGTCGAATCAGCTCCAACTCACGGCAACCCTGTGTGTTACAGAGTAGAACTCCATGGGGCTTTCTTGGCTGTAATCTTAACGAAAGCAGATCACCAGGCCTTTCTTCCAAGGTACCTCTGGGTGGGTTTGAACTGCCAATCTTTAGGTTAGTAGTAGAGCACAAGTTATTGTGCCACCTAGGAATTTTGAAGGATAGTACAGCCTTAAAGTTATTAAATTAATAATCTTGGTGGGGGGGTGGTTGTTTTGTTTTTCTTCTCAAAGAACGTATTCAGGCATTGGAAACCCTGAAAGTTGATCTCCTGAGCTGTGGAAAGGAGCACTGCCTGGCCGTTTGTCACAAAGGAAGGGTCTTTGCGTGGGGAGCTGGTTCTGAAGGGCAGCTGGGGACTGGAGGATTTGAGGAACTAAAATTTACACCTAAGTAAGTACTTCAATTCATTCAATAGTTTTGAGTACCATGTGCCAGGCACCATGCAAGATGCTAGGGTACAAAGATGTCTGTGACAAACACAGTTCCTGACCACAATGATTACAATCCAGTGAGGGAAGGAGGCAAGAAAAGGCCTTTAACACCAATTATTATTTAATTAGAGTCCTGTCAAGGAAAACGGCAGGGTGAAATGAGAACATGTGACCCTCTGGTCTTAATTTTACCTACTGGAATACAACCTTTTGGCCTGTCATAAGCCACTGAGTTCTAATAGTTTAATTAATAAAAGGGAAAAAAATCATGTATCTTTACAAACTGGACAAGTGATATGACAACCAGTTAGCTCTGAAATGTGTGTTCATGAATTACGTGCTTAAGGAGTTTTTTAAACTACGTTTTTTAATACCAGGAAGTTGTTTCTCGTTACCTTCTTTGGTCATTAAATCGTAAGAGAGATCTCTGTGGCTTGGGGGCATAAGCACTGAACTTGGAATGAAAAGACCAGGGTTTGAGCCCACTTCTATAACTTGATAGCTATCTGACCTCTCTGAGTTCTCTTAAGTTGAAATTGCTGATAATTGTCTGTTTTTGATCCAAAAAATTCCACCTAATGGTTTCTTTATCTCACGGGCTTAAATTAGGTCATATAGATGGTAGTATTCTATAAATTCTATGCTATATGTGTATGAAGAAAATTATTTTTCTCTTAGGTAGTTAAATACAGAATAAAAATTAATGTATCATATAATGCATTAAAATTCCATTTTTACATTATATACTGTTTTGGATTCAGTCCTGTACCTTGTTTTAGATTTGGTCCTGTTGATGTCATGTTAAGAACAGTTTAAGGGCTTTGGAATAAAGGTACTACAGAAATACAAGAAAATAAAATGGTTTCCCTAGACCATATGTATTACCTGGGATAGTTTTAAATATATTAGTCCACTTGGTGACCCACCCTAAAGAAGGAGTGACAAGATTTTGTCTCATTTTTATTATAGGAAAGTAAACACTCTGGCTGATATAAAAATAATACAAGTTTCCTGTGGACATTATCACTCCCTGGCATTATCACAAGGTAAAAATGTGGTAATTTTGGGGTCTCCTGAGTGTTGATAAGAAATAACTTTTTTTCAAAACTAAAGTACACGGTTTATTCAGATTTCCTTAGGGTTTTGTTGTTGTTGTTGTTGTGTGTTTATTTTGGTGAAAATTATACACGGAAAAAGATACACCATTTCAACAATTTCTACATGTACAATTCAGCGACATTGACTACATTCTTTAAGTTGTGCTACCATTCTTGCTATCCTTTTCCGGATTATTCCACCACCATTAGCTTAAACTCACTGCTCCTTACACTTCCCATCTAACCTTTCGAGTTGCTGTTGTCAATTTGACCTCACATAGATAATTCTTTAAAAGAGCACAATGCTCAGAGCAAATGTACTTTACTAGTTAAGATAAACTATTTTTTGATTTAAAGAAGAATTTAGGGGATAGTTTTGGTTTAAGATTTAAAGTTTAAAGATTATCTCAGGGCAGTAGTTTCAGGGGTTCATCCAGCCTCAGTAACTCCGTCTGTTCTGCAGGGAAATAATTTTTTGAATACGAATGATAACAGTTGGTTTTCAATGTTTTAGGTTTCATTTTAATGCATTTAGAAGTTTTTAACTCCAGATTTTATAAAATATGTTGCTGTTCATATTTTTTCGATTTTCTTTGTTCTTATGATACTGTGCATAGTACCTAATTCGTATCTCATTGCTATAAAGAGCCCTCTCTGTTCACATGACTTGACTGTCCGGCTCCCCAGGAACTTAGGAGCAGTTTTATTTCCAACCTTTTGCCCTTTATGCTGAATGGCTTGCTCTCATCGGCGAACCCAGACAAACAAATAGCCATTTGTCTGTTTGACTTAAATCAAAGAAAAGAGAAGTTGCGATGTTAAATCATGACTCTACATTTTTTCTACTAACCTCCCCCATCCAGTGTCCATCTTCAATCCAGGTTTCCAAATGGAGGGACACATAACATTTTTGTGTCCCTCAGGTGATGTCTTGTGCATCATTGCAACTGTGCCTCAGTGCATAGCTAAATTATGGACAATCGGCATTTATTCATTGCTTTCTATGTGCCAGCTACTGTGTTAAATGCTTTCCATGTATTATCTCTTGCAATTGCCTAACAGACATAGTAGTCAGGTATGAGTCATATCCTCATTTCAGAAATGAGGTACTTTAGACCCTGAGACTTTTTAAAAATTGCCCAAGGTTATACAGTAAGAAACAGAGGAAGTGGGAATTTAATGTAAACTTGTTTACATCTCAACCTGAAGTTCTTAACCACTGCCCCACACAGACTCTGAGACCAGAGTACCTCTCATGGCCGTGGTGTGATTCCTTCTACCTACCATTTCTAGCTATTTGATCTTGGACAAGTCACTTAACTTTTTTGAGTCTCAATTTTCTTATCTGTAGGAATATTGATGCCTAACTTACAGGTTGTTTACAAGATTTAATGAGAGAAGGTATGCAATATTCTTCTGAACAGACATGAGCATAAAGTAAGGCTACAGTAAATATTAGTCTCTTCCCCTTCCCTACTTTCCTTTTTTTTATTATCAAAATTATTTCTTTGGGTATTGGTTTGTTTTTACATTGTTCTGGACCACAAAGGCTGGGTAGAGTCCAGACACGTGCTGTACTTGCCGTAGTGAACTGTGAGTTCTTACAGATCTCCGTAGAAGTTTGACATTTTCCAAGGTGACTTCAAACATTATTTTCATCTGTAGAAATAACTTTCGAAGAGTTAAAGATAAACATTAATATAAGAACTTAGAAAATCTGAGATGTGTTGGCATTCTCTGGGTATATAATTATATACAACATATATATTATAATTATTAGAGAACATGATTTTTGATCTGTTGTAAATTATTTATCTCTAGTCAAATTCAACCTAAAATTTTATTTTTTTCCCTACTCAGTCATTCCATAAATATTTATTGAGTGCCTACAATGTGCCAGGCAAAGAGGATATAGCAGTGAACAAACATAAAACCCTGCTTTCATGGAACTTATATTCTGGGGTGTAGCAGGGGAAGTAAGCCAATAAACACCTAGACAAATAGTTATGTAGTATAACAGATGGAGATAAAAGGTATGAGAAAAGTAAAGCAGGAGACACAGAGTGAGTACCTGGGTGGAGGGAAGTGGTCGTTACATTTTATAAAGGCAGTTAGGGAAGATCTCTCTTATAAGGTGACACATGAGCAGAGACCTAAAGGGAGGGAGGGAGGGAGCCCTGGTGCTAACTAGGGGAAGATTGATCCAAGCAAGGAGAATGGCAGATGCAAAGGCCATGAGGTAGGGGCATGTTCACATGAGCAAGAGGGAGAGGAGATCCAAGAGATGATGGTGGGGAATACGGTAATGTGGGGTTTATTAGCCATGGTAAGAATGGGCCCTCTGTCTGAGGAGATAGCAAGCTCTTGAAGGGTTCGTTCTGACCTACATCTTAGAAAGATGACTCTGGGAAACAACCCAAGTTTCCATCAATAGATGAATGGTTAAACAAATTATGATATATACTCATACAATGGAATATTATTCAGCCATAAAAAAGAAAGAAGTTCTGATACATGCTACGACATGAATGAACCTTGAGAACATGCTGGATGAAGTAAGCCAGGCACAAAAGGACAAATATTGTGTGATCCCACTTATATGAAATATCTAGAACAGGCAAATTCATAGAGACAGAAGTAGATCAGAGATTATCAGGGATGAGGGGAGGGAGGAATGGGGAGTTATTGCCTAATGGGTACAGAGTTTCTGTTTGGGTGATGAAAAACCTTTGGAAATGGATAGCGATGAAGGTTGTGAAACACTGTGGGTGTAATTAATGTCAGTGAATTGTACACTTAAAAATGGAAAATTTTTTGTTTTATATGTATGTATATATATATTTATATATTACCACCATTAAATTAAAAAAAAAAAGAGAGCTAACTCTGGCTACTCTTTGGAGAATAGACTGATGGGGACCAAGGTGGAATCGGGGAGAGTAGAGACAGGCTATTGTAATTTTCAAGGAGAAAAATATGGTGGCTTGGATTAAGGTGGCACCCATGGAAAAGTGATAAGTGGTTGGATTCTCAATAGATTTTGCTTTGCTTTTGAATTTTTATTGTGGTGAAATACATGTAACAAAACATTTCAACCATTTTTATGTGTAAAATTCAGTGATATTAATTACATTCACTATATTGCGCAACAAGGATTCTTGATAGACTTTGAAGGTGGAAGCTTCAGGATTTGCTGGATTGAGAAATGTGAAAGAAAGAGAAGAGTCAAGGATGACTCCAAGATTTTTTGGACTGAGCGGCTAAAAGAACACAGTTGCCATTAGCTGGGAGAGAGAAGAGTGGGCGTTGTGGAAGGGGCTTTTGAAAGTGATCTTGATCATCCTCCTCACCTTCAGTCAGAATACTTTAGTCCTATTTCCTCTTCTATCCTTGATTTATTCTTTATAGATTTGTAGAATTAGGGTGGTAGTTTCTACTTAAATTTAGCATTCACATGTGTGTGGAATTCTGAATTTCTCTCTCTCTCTCTCTCTTTTTTTTTTTCCATAGATGGCAAAGTGTTTTCATGGGGAAAGAACAGCGATGGTCAGCTGGGCCTGGGGAAGGAGTTCCCCTCCCAGGCCAGCCCACAGAGGGTGAGGTCCCTGGAAGGGATCCCACTGGCCCAGGTGGCTGCAGGAGGGGCTCACAGCTTTGCCCTTTCTGTCTCAGGCACTTCATTTGGCTGGGGAAGCAACAATGCAGGACAGCTGGCCCTCAGTGGCAATAACGTCTCAGGTAAAAAGATAGTCTTGTTCTTCCAGTAAATAATTATTTTTTTCCAATTGGAAATCCTCACAACTGGACAAATAAGCAACATCATGATAAATGGATAAAATACTGAACTCGTCAAGGATTTTATTTTACTTGGATACACAATCAACGCCCATGGAAGCAGCAGCCAAGAAATTAAATGATATATTGCATTGAGCAAATGTCCTGCAAAAGATCCTTTTAAAGTGTTAAAAAGCAAAGATGTCACTTTGAGGACTAAGGTGGGCCTGACCCAAGCTATGGTATTTTCAATAGCCTCATATGCATGTGAAAGCTGGACAATGAATAAGGGGGACCGAAGAAGAATTGATACATTTGAGTTATGGTGTTGGCAAAGAATATTGAATGTACCATGAACTGCCAAAAGAACAAACAAATCTGTCCTGGAAGAAGTACAGCCAGAATACTCCTTTGAAGCAAGGATGGTGAGACTTCATCTTACATACTTTGGACATGTTATCAGGAGGGACGAGTCCCTGGAGAAGGACATCACGCTTGGTAAAGTAGAGGGTCAGCAAAAAAGAGGAAGACCCTTAAGGAGATGGATTGACGCAGTGGCTGCAACAATGGGCTCAAGCATAGCAACGATTGTGAGGATGGCACGGGACAGGGCAGTGTTTCATTCTGTTGTACAGAGGGTTGCTTTGAGTTGGAACCGACTGCATGGCACCTAACAACAGCATTCCAGTTGGAAAACCAGCTCTGCAAAGGGCAGTCTCAAAGGTTAGAACAGTGGTTCCTAAAATTTGCAACACATTAAATCACCTGGGGAGCTATATTAGTTTCTTATTGCTGCTGTAACAAATTACCACAAACTTAGTGGCTTAAAACAACACAGCTTTATTATTTTACATTTCTGGAGCTGAGTCCAACACAAGTCTCACTGGGCTAAAATCAAGGTATTGGTAAAGTTATATTCCCTCTGTAGGCTTTTGGGGAAAAATCTATTTTCTTGCCTTTTCTAGCTTCCAGGGGCTGCCTACATTCCTTGGTTCATGGCCCCATTCCATCTTCAAAGCCAGCAATGGCCAGTTAAGTCTTTCTCGAATCACATCACTCTGACACTGACACTTCAGCCTTTCCCTTCCTCAGTTAAGGAACCTTGTGATTACATTGGGCCCACCCAGATAATCCAGAATAATCTCCCTATTTTTATGGTCTAAATCCATCTGCTACCTTAATTTCCCTTTGCCATGTAACCTAATATATTCACAGGCTATGGGATTAGGACATGGACATCTTTGGGAGGCTATTATTCTACCACAGGAGCAATTAAAAAACCCCAATGCCTAGGTTGTACCTCATGCCAATTAAATCAGAATGTCTTCGGGTGAAATCCAGGCATCCGTAGTTTTTGAAGATTTCACAGGTGATTCAGATGTGCATCAGAGTTTGGAAACCACTGGATTAGAAGACTGCTAGCGTTAGGAAAATAACCAGTTCCCATAGCAACCTCTAAAACAAAACTCCCTGTGAAGAATTCCCCATGAGCCCGTCCTCCTCTGTTCAATTCTTTACATTTGGCTAGCATTTATTTAGCACCTGTTATGTGCCAGCAAGGAGCCCTGGTGGTGCAGTGGTGAAGCACCTGGCTGCTAACCAAAAAGTTGGTGGTTCAAATCCACCAGCCGCTCCTCAGGAGAAAGATGTGGCAGTCTGCTTCCATAAAGATTATAGCCTTGGAAACCCTATGGGACAATTCTCCCTGTGAGTAGGGACCGACTATGAGTCGGAACCAATTCAACAGCAATGGGGTTTTTGGTTTTTAATGTGCCAACACTGTGCTGACACTTACATCTCATTTCATTTAACCGTCACAACATGAGGTAGGTTCTTTTATTATTCCAATTATCATTACATATTTGCAGATACCTACAATGTGACAGAAATGAATATGACACAATGGCAATATTATTGGAGATGAGAGTCTTGAAGCTTAGCTTCAAGGTCAGTAGCCTCAGGCATTCCAGAAGGTTAATAGCTTTCAGAAATAAATTCTAAAAGACTGGATTTTTTCTTTTCTAAAGCACGGTTTCCCTCTGTTTGATAATACTTCTGATTGTTCACATTTTAAAATTATTTTAATGAATTATATTAGATATTTTATTCACAATGATGAAATCTGAGTTGTTTCTCAAACTTTAGAAATTCTGCTTTATTTCAATAGTGCAAAGCTACAAGCCTCGTTCCATTGGAGCATTGAAGGAACTAGGAGTGATTTACATCAGCTGTGGTTATGAGCACACGGCAGTGCTTACCCAGGTAATCCAAGATGTGTTGCTATTTTTTTTTAGTTCCAGAGAAATATTACCACAAGGTACTGATTATTGTAGAACACAAGATGCAAGTCAACTTCAGCCAAAGAGTAGACGGCCCCATAAAACAAAACAAGACTAATGGGGTACAACAGCCCAGGGACAAGGACTAGAAGGCAGGAGGGTACAGGAAAGTTGGTAATAGGGAACCCAAGGTTGAGAAGGGACAGTGTTGACATGTTGAGGGATTGTTAACCATTGTCATAAAACAGTATGTGTACTAACTGTTTAATGAGAAACTATTTGTTCTGTAAACCTTCATCTAAAGTACAATAAAAAATTTTTAAAAAGATGCGGGTCTATATGTGGACATACCAATTCAGTGTACAAATATCTAAAGAGGAAAGGTTAACCAAATATAAACCAAGCGATTTTCAAGATCCTATACAAAAGCTAATTTCAGCTTTAGGAAATATTTTTAGATACCTATTACACTGAATTATTATAGGAGCTAATCCTTTTAGCAATTGTTCATTGATAACATAGCTTTACAGATGAAAATTTTTATAGAAACAATAAGGTAATTTTTACAGTTTTCAATAACCCATATTACAGACTAGAACACACTTTGTTCCATTTCTTTCTTGGCACAATTCTGAGGCAGCCTCCTGAATTTTTTCCTCCCCTTTGTCTTGTATTGGCCATGCAGTATATTCCAGCAGGGTGGATTCTCACCATAATCATAAAGAATAGACTTGAAAACTATTTGTGTGATTGAAATGTTTATTTTAAAACTATATACTCAAAATAATTTTTCTTATTTATTTAAAATATATTGCTTAAATTAGGAAGGCCTAAATTGTTTGGATTATGTTTTTCTTAGGTGGCAGAAGAAAGCTAGAATTGTATTTAATCACCAAATCATGTTTTCAAAAGAGATTATTTTCAGGAAAATGCTCAAATAAAGCAACCCTATACTTAAATTTTGGCATTGCTCTTGAACCAGTTAATATGTCCATTCATTCATTCAACAAACATTTATTACGTGCCAAGTTTTTAAGGAAATACCAATGATTTTTCATGTTTCATGTGTTAACTCTACATTCAGTATTTAGAAGTAATAAATAAAGGACCCCCTCTTGTTTATATAGATCTTATATTTCACATAGTGCTCTCATATTAATTCTCTATGATACTTAATCTTTAAGCTTTTAATTATTTTTTTTAGCTGAAATTAATCCAGTTCCTCCTTTTTTAAACAGGATGGTAAAGTGTTCACATTTGGAGACAATAGCTCTGGACAGCTGGGACACAGTCCCACTGCTAAGAAGAAAGGCCCACAACTCGTGGAAGGAATTGATGGCCTAGTTTCACAGATAGATTGTGGAAGGTAATAGGGTTTGTCACTTTACCATGAGTAACCAGTAACCATTTGCTGTCGAATTGATTCTGACTCATGGCAGCCGCATTTGTTTCAGAGTAGAGGTGTGCTCCATAGGGTTTTCAATGATTGTGATCTTTCCGAAGTAGATCTCCAGGCCTTTCTTCTGAGGCACCTCTGGGTGGATTTGAACCCCCCACTATTTCAGTTAATAGCTGAATGTTTAACTGTTTGCACCACCTAGGGCCTCCTTTAGCATGGGTAGAAAGAGTTATATTTTATTACTTACAAATGACTCATATGGAATGTTATTAAACCCTAAAATATGTAGATGATAATTTTACAGATCCTTTTCCTTTCTGAACATTTATTTATTTCAAATATAGTTTGATTTTTCAGTTTTTTTCTTCTTTACCTAAAACATTTAATTATTTAACAAGAATTAATTGATAGTCTACTGTGTATACACCTTATTAGCTGTTGAGGGGTAGGGAGATAGTTTGATAACAGAAACAGTAGTGTTTGCCTACTTGAGTTGATAAGACAAGATTAAAAAAAAAAATCCCGTGTATGTTGTTGTTACTTGCTGTAAATGTATGTCTACCTTATGTATAACATAATGAAATGTTGCCCAGACAATATTCTGTTGTGATGCATAAGGTTTTCATTGGCTAAGTTTTGGGAGTAGATCACCCGTCCTTTCTTACTAGTCCGTCCTAGTCTGGAAGCTTTGCTGAAACTAGTGCACCATGGGTGACCCTGCTGGTATCTGAAGTACTGGTGGCAAAGCTTCCAATATCATAGCAACAAGAAAGCCACCATAGTATGACAAACTGACAGATGGGTGGGGGGCCACCCATCCATCATGTTTGTAGCTGATGTATATTTGCATATATAGTCAAAGTTTTGTACGACCTAATTATGAGGACTCTTTGAATATTATCTACACAATTCATTTAAAAGAAAAAACATTTTTGTATTTAAAACACAAATTATAGAAACCATATAAAGGCCTTTGTCACCTGTCAATAATACTCTACCTTTAAAGTTAGTAATAAGTTAATATTTATCTATCATTTGCATAGTATCTAGTGCCCCTCCTATACTAGCATTGCGAAAGGAGATCTGGGTACTTATCATAAGATCAATCTATTATTTTTTGTTGGGAAACATCATCTTTCCCAAAACACCGCGAGTACCCCGGTCTTCGTTGTAATGTACTCTCTCTCCTGTAGTTATCACACTCTTGCATACGTCTACACTACTCCTCGGGTGGTATCTTTTGGTCATGGACCAGGTCACACAAGCAGCTCAACTCATCCAGATGCCATGACAAAGAACTTTGATGTTAGCTGCCTGATTTCTGCTGATGGTATGAGTGGTTCCACTAATTTATGATTTTGTGTTAATTGATGCCACTGGTGGAGAAATATTATCCAGCTTCCTTTCAGAGGAGCCTGCAGAACTGTGGTTCTTCTAGTACTTTCATTTTAAATTTGTACTTTGTATGTTTTTTCTTATGCACGATTCCTGTAGTATTTGGTAATCATTTCTAAACATTAAAGCAATGTAAAAGAAGATGCTAAATCAGTCTCTCAAGCATCAGAACACTTATATGCATGTAGTCAAACCTCGTTAAAGCATGTTAACCTGGCTTCATTATGCAAGTGCATGAAAATTAAATTTTAAACTAAGTAATTTACATGACATGCTGTCTTATCAAAATCACTATTTTATGTTGTTTGTAGTCAACATCCATTCGCGGGAGTATAAATTTCCAATAAATAAGTAACTTTGACTTGGTAATGCATCAGATCTATTTTTTACTTCTAAAAACTCTAAGCATGGATTTATAACTTTGTTTTTAGACCTTGTGAACGTTCAAGTCAAACACATTTTTGCTGGAACATATGCCAATTTTGTGACAACTTATCAGGTATTATACTTCCTGTTTCTTTAAAAATTTTTCCTCTAGATTTCAAGGTGACATTTGAAACATTGTATCATTTGTATGTATTCAGATTTCTTACCATACTAGATTCCTAGGGCTGCTGTAAAAAATTATCACAAAGTGGCTTAAAACAATAGAAGTTTGTTTTCTCACAGTTCTGGAGGCTAGAAGTTCGAAATCAAGGGGTCAGCAGGACTGCGCTCCCTCTGAAGGCTCTAGGAAAGAGTTCTTCCTTGTCACCTTCTAGCTTCTGGTAGTTGCCAACAATCCTAGGCATTCCTGGTTTGTGGCTACATCATTCCAATCTCTGCCTCTGTCTTCACGTGGCATTCTCTGTGTGTGTGTGTCTCTGTGCCTCTTCTCTTCTTATAAGGTTATCAGTCATACTGGGTTCAGGCTCACCCCAACCAAGTATGACCTCATCTTAACTTGATTACATCTGCAAAGACCCTGTTTCCAAATAAAGTCATATTCTGAGTTTCTGGATAGACATGAATTTTGGAAGGACACTATTCAACCCATAATACTAAAATAATAAGATTCTCTGTTAGAATGTTTTAAAAAAATATGATGTAATTCTCCTTTCTTCATTTACCTGGCTTCCTAACAGATGAGACTCCCAAACCCAAATTCATTGCTTTTACACTAACTTTTTATTAACAAATAATAATGTCAATGATGATAATAATGGTAACAATATTAATTGCAGTCACCATGTGTCAGGTACCAATCAAAGTGTTATAAGTGGATCAACGTGTTTAATCCTCACTCAACTCCAGTTGATATTGTTTCCCTCATTTTACAGATGAAAAAGCTGAGGCTTAGAGAGGTGAACTTACCCAGAGTTGCATTACTAGTAAGTGGCAGAGCTGGATTCAAACACAAAAAGTATGACTTCAAAGCTTGCACAATTACCCACCATGCTATACTGCCTTCCTAATTGTTAACATCTCTACCATCACCCGTTGCCATTCAGTTGATTCCAACTCATGGCAACCAAGGTTGAATTAGCCGGTAAGCAAGGTAAGCCCGGGCTTACCTTGCTTACTGGGTAATCAGTCCCTGAAAGATTTAAAATTTGAAAAGAGGCTTTGATTCTCATAGGAAGATGCTGTGGGGTTGGGCGAGAGACAGATGCCAGCCATGCCTAGAAGCAGAATCTTTGACGTGGTGAGAAAATGTGAAATTGTTCACTACAGACGATCTGGTAAGCAAGGTAAGCACCATGCTTACCTTGCCTATTGGATAATCTGCCCCTGATAACAACCCATGTGTGTAGAGTAGAACTACTACACAGAGTTTTCAAGGATGTGATCTTTCAGGAGCAGATCACCAGGCCTTTCTCCTGAGGCACCTCTGGGAGGGTTCGAACTCCCAGCCTTTTAGTTAGTAGTTGAGCACTTAACCATTTGTACCACCCAGTGACTCCTATTGTTAAAATAGAGGATTTTATTATTATATTTCTGGATGAGTTCTGAAATGTTTGTATGGAGACAAACGCATACTCAGTTATTTTCCTAGTGGTGTAATTTTTTCCTATTATCAGGAATATTTTAAACCTAACATCTGTAGAGACTGTGTCTATATTCTCAGGGACAGAAAATGGTCGTGGCCAAGGTTTCTGTGCTTCTGGGGATAGTTAGGAGATATACTTTGGTTGCTCTATCATAGCCATCCATTCAGCTAGGCAAGAATGAGTTTGGCAAGTGTGAGGGACAGAAAGAAGGCCATCGAACCAATGCACTGTCAGAGAGGATGAAGAAGAGGCATATATATATGTATGATTGAACTATGAAGCATATCCCTCACGTGTGTTACTGTTGGCCCTATAAACCTGTCTAATCTTTGACTGAAGGGTAAACCTTAGGAGTGAATTCAGTACTGAGTTAAAAGGGTGTCTGGTATCTAAACTATCGGGGTTTCTCCAGTCTCTGTCAGACCAGCTAGCCTTTTTTTTTTCTCCCTGTGAATTTGAATTTTGTTCTACATTTTTCTACCACTCTGTCCAGGATCCTCTATTGTGAACCCTGCCAGAGTGTCAGTGGTGGTAACCGGGTACCATCTAGTTGTTCTAGGCTCAGTCTGGTGGAGGCTGTGGCAGTTATGGTCCATGAGTCCTTTGGGTTAATCTTTCTCAGGGGATATTTTCGATTTAAGGTTTAAAGATTATCTCAGGGCAGTAGTTTCTTGGGTTTATCCAGCCTCCATGGCTCCAGAAATTCTGGATTCCATGACAATTTATAATTCTGATCTACATTTTCCCCCTTTTGATCAGAATTCATCTATAGAATCTTTGATAAAAATGTTCAGTAATTGTAGCCAGGCACCATTCAGTTCTTTGGGTCTCATGGTAGGGGAGGCAGTTGTTCATGGAGGCAGTTGGCCACACATTCCATATCCTCCTCCTATTCCTAACTCTCCTTCTTCCTCTGTTGCGCTAGGTGAATAGAGACCAGTTGTTGTACCTTGGGGGCCACTTGCAAGTTTTTAAGACATGGGGTCAGTTTTTAATGTCTTTGGAGTCATCATTGGATATTCACATCTGGAGCTCAGAGTAGATGTCTGTTGGAGATACAAACATGGTAGTTACCACACTACATGTGGTATTTAAAGCCAGAGGCCTAGATGAAAGGTCACCTAGAGATTGAGTGAACATGAGAAGAGAAACACTATGGGGCAGTTCTACTCTGTCCTATAGGATCACTATGAGTCAGCCTCGATGGCAATGGGTTTTTTATAATCTTTACGGAAGCAGACTGCCACATCTTTCTCCCTCAGGGCAGCTGGTGGGTTTAACCACCTCCCTTTTGGTTAGCAGCCAAACATTTAGCTACTGTGCCACCAGAGCTCCTATTACTGAGCTGAAAGAGATAATATTAATGCATGTTTGTATGCCTGTGAGAATGATCCATTTCAGAAGGAGAAAGGGATGATGCATGAGAAAGAGGGAATAATTGTAGAAGCAATGTCCCAGAATAGGATACAGTAAGTGGGATCCAGTGCAGACCTGAGGGGTTTGAACAGTATTTCCTGGCCCAAATTCCCTTTTTATAATTCTATGAAAGGAATTATCCAGACCAAATCTCTAGGGATGCCAAAGTTGTGAAACCCTGATCCACACAGAGGAAAAGAGTGGAGGTGAGATCAAGAACTGAGAGATCAAGGTGGAGATAGGTTGTGTTCATCAATTGTGAAGTTGCCAGGAATGATGACGGAAGTGGTGGTACTGAGGATGATGGAAAGTTAGGTGCCAACATTTTCAGTGAATGAGGGGAGTGGCCAGGACATTGGGAGATGGTTTTAAAAGAAGGGGAGGTAGATGATATAGCCTGATGTCATATACTTAGTGGAGCTGGAGATTTTGAAGAAGAAGGCAGAAGAAATTGTTTGTAAATGCCAATAGGGAGAACCTCCTTGTCCTGAGGTTCCTGGAATGTGGGAGAAAAGAGAACTTCCTTTTAATTGAACTATAAGGGACCCCAGGACTTAGATCAAGAAGCTGAAGGGAACTTTGTGTGTGTGTGTGTGTGTTTATTAAGTGAAAGTTTACAGAGAAAATTGGTTCCCCATTTGATAGTTTGTACAAAAAAGTATTTCATGACCTTGGTTTCGTTCCCCACAATGTGTCAGCACTCTCCCCATTTCTGCCTGAGTTCCCCATTTCTTTTAGTCCTGATTTTCTAACCCTTCCTGCCTCCTCATCTTTGCTTTTGGGCAGATATTGCTTTTTTGATCTCCTATAATTAATTGTTCTAAGGAGTACATTCCTCTCGGGTGTTATTGTTTATCTTATGGGCTTGTCTTGTTTGGCTTGTCTTGTTTGGCTGGGAGGTGGTCTCCGAGAATGGTTTCAGTTCCAGGTCAGAAGGGTGTCTTAGGGCCGTAGTCTTGGGGGTTCCTCCAGTCTCTGTCAGACCAGTAAGTCTGGTCTTTTTTTAATTTGATTTTTTTTGTTCTATGATTTTTCTCCTGCTCTAGGACCCTCTGTTGTGATCCCAGTCAGAGCAGTCAGTAGTCGTAGCCGGGCACCATCTAGTTCTTCTGGCCTCAGGGTCGTATAGACCGTGGTTCGTGTGGTCCACTAGTCTTTTGGACTAATATTTTCCTCGTGTCTTTGGTTTTCTTATTTCTCCTTTTCTCCGGGAGGTAAGAGACCAATAGTAGTATATCAGATGGCCACTTGCAAGCATTTAAGACCCCAAACACTACTAACTAAAGTAGGATGCAGAACATTGTCTTTATGAATTATATTGTGCCAATTGATGTAGAAGTCCCCCAAATCTATGGTCTTTTCTCTTCTAGCCTAGGAACTTCATCTCATGAGGTGTCTGGTTATGTCTAAGAGGTTTCCCTGACTGTACCCCTTGAGTGCTCTATGTGAGCCACACCTACAGTCATGTATGTAGAAATATCTGCTACCAAACCTGTATCTACCTGTGGGCGTATTCCCTTACACCCTCCCACATCTCTTAGCATGTCTATCTACCTATTTATCCGTTTTTAAATTATTATTTGTTAATACTATTGTTGCAGGATTGTCTAAGCTATAGTAGTTACCGTAGTTGCCCTTTAGTCTTGCGTTCCTCTCAGCGTCCTCTCTTGCCTTGGTCAGGTTGTACTGACTTCCCTCACATTATATATCGCTTTCCTTTCACCACTCTTAACATGTGTCTTCTATCTAATTGGTAATTTTCCGTACCTCCCCCTTCCATCCCTGATAACAATCAAAGAAAGTTCTTTCTTTCTTTTATTTTTTTCCCTCTGTGTGTAAACATTTTGTTGTTAATTTATAATAGTGGTTTAATACAATATTTGTGCTTTTATTTCACTCAACATAGTGTCCTCCAAATTCATCTATGTTGTGAGATGTTTCATGGATTCATCATTACTCTTTATTTTTGCATAGTTTATTCCATTGTGAGTATGTATAACAGTTTGCTAATCCACTCATCTGTTGTTGGGCACTTAGGTTATTTCCATCTTTTTTGCTATTGTGAATAATGCTGCAATGAACATGGGTGTGCATATGTTTATTTACATCAAGGTTTTTATTTTTTTAGGGTATATACCTAAAAGTGGGATTGCTGGATCATATGGTATTTCTATTTCTAACTTTTTGAGGACACGCCCGATGGTTTTCCGTAGTGGTTAAACCATTTTGCATTCCTACCAACAGTGTATAAGAGTTCCAGTCTCCCCACAACCCCGTCAACATTTGTTATTTTCTGTTTTGTTTTTTTTATTACCAGTATTGTTGGGATGAGATGATATCTCATTGTAGTTTTGATCTGCATCTCTCTAATAGCTAATGATCACAAGCATTTCTTCATATATTTGTTAGCAGCCTGAATGTCTTCTTTGGTGAAGTATCTGTTCATATCCTTTGCCCATTTTTATTGGATTGTTTATCTTTTTATTGTTGAGATGTTGAAGTTTTCTATAAATTTTAGAAATTAGTCCCTTGTCAGATATGTCATAGCCAAAAAATTTTTTCAGTCAGTAGGTTCTCTTTTTACTCTTTTGGAGAAGTCTTTTTGTTGAGCATAAGTGTTTAATTTTTAAGAAGTTCCATTTATCTAGTTCACCTTCTGCTGTAAGTGCATTTTTGGTTATGTTTGGTGTCATGGATTGAATTATGTCCCCCCAAAAATGTGTGTATCAATTTGTCTGGGCCATGATTCCTGGTATCATGTGATTTTCCTATATGTTGTAAATCTTGCCTCTATGATGTTAATGAGGGAGGATGGGCGGCAGTTGTGTTAGTGAGGCAGGACTCAATCTACAAGATTGGATTGTGTCTTGAGGCAATCTCTTGAGATATGAAAGAGAGAAGCAAGCAGAGAGACAGGGGGACCTCATATCATCAAGAAAGCAGTGCCTGGAGCAGAGCATTCCTTTGGACCCAGGGTCCCTGAGTGGAGAAGCTCCTAGTCTGGGGGAACAATGATGAGAAGGCCAACAGAGAGAGAAAGCCTTCCCCTGGAGCTGACCCCCTGAATTTGGACTTTTAGCCTACTTGACTGTGAAGAAATAAATTTCTCTTTATTAAAGCCATCCACTTGTGGTATTTCTGTTATAGCAGCCCTAGATGACCAAGACATTTGGTATTCTATTTATTCCATGTATTAGGGCCCCTAGTGGTGTCCCTATTTTTTCCTCCATGATCTTTATAGTTTCAGGTTTCATACTTAGGTCTTGATCCATTTGAGTTTGTTTTTGTGTATGGTGTGAAGTATGGGTCCTGTTTCATTTTTTTTATAGACATCCAGTTTTGCCAGCACCACTCATTGAAGAGACTGTCTCTTCCCGTTTAATGTTCTTTAGCCCTTTGTCAAAGATCAGCTGATCATAGGTGGATGGATTTACATCTGGGTTCTCGATTCTGTTCCATTGGTCTATGTCTCTGTTGTTGTACCAGTACCAGGCTGTTTCAACTACCATGACTGTAGAGCAGGTTCTGAGATCAGGTAGAATGAGGCTGCCTATGAAGGGAACTTTAAGAGAAGAGTCATGGTTACACATCTTTCAAGAGGTCTTTATTCAAGCATTATGAAAAATGATGCAAGATTTGCTGACTTATAATAAGTTTAGTGAAGATATCATGGATTGAATTGTGTCCCCTGTTGTAGGAAAAAAAATCACAAAGCAAAAATAAAGTTTTATTCAGCATATATTCAAAAGGCAAAAGTAGGAAATTGGACAAGCGTGCTGCCACAGCCATGTCTGTCCAAGTCCAGAGAATATTACAGAGTCATCAGTATATACTAACATTACAAATGGGCAAAACCATTGAAAACTTCATCTTTTCACAGATTGGCTAGAAACTGTGATCCTACATTTTGAATTGTCTTCTTAACAATCATTGGTACAGGTTTCAGTAAAGACAGTCAGGAGAGTCTTCATTGGTCCAACAAATTTTCTGTTCACTAAATGCTAACAGAAAAAGATAAGAGTGCTAAGTCTTTTGTGTCCTGTTTGAATGGCTTATTTGTAAGGGTCCCTAAAAGGTATCTTCCAAGATTATCTTAGCTATTGTCTTTATACCTCAGGGCCCAGTTGATGTGTCCTTGTAAATCCTTATGAGTCCAGCTCCAGCTGGGTCACATTCTCTTTGCTCAAGGACAGGGAATAATAACTCCAATATTATTTCCTAAATCACCCCCCAAAATATCTGTTAATTGGCAAGGTCATGATTCCCAGTATTGTGTGATTGTCCACCACTTTGTTATCTGATGTGATTTTCCTATATGTTGTAAATCCTGTCTCTATGATGTTAATGAGATGGGATTAGCAGCAGTTATGTTAATGATTTGGACTCAATTTACAAGATTAGGTTGTGTCTTAAGCCAGTTTCTTTTGAGATATAAAAGAGAGAAGTGAGCAGAGAGACAAGTGAACCTCACACCACCAAGAAATAAGAGCTAGGAGCATAGCACTTCTTTTGGAACCAGGATCCCTGCGCTGAGAAACTCCTTGACTGGGGAAGATTGATGACAAGGACCTTCCCCCAGAGCTGACAGAGAGAGAAAGCCTTGCCCTGGAGCTGGCACCCTGCATTCGGACTTCTAGCCTCCTAGACTGTGAGAGAATAAACTTCTCTTTGTTAAAGCCACCACTTGTGGTATTTCTGTTACAGCAGCACTGGATGATCAAGACAGGAGACATAGGTATAATGTTCAGCAGAGCACTGATGCCTTTGGAAAACTTTAGTGAAGACAGATTTTTCTTTCAAGACAGTGATTTTTGACACCTACATCTGGGTCATTTGGTCTCAGGTATTGTATAAATCAGGGCTCTCAAAATGTGGTCCCCAAACCAGCAGCATCAGAATCACCTGGGAATTTGTTAGATGAAAATTCTTGAGTCCTCTCCAGAACTACTGAAACTCTGGTGATAAGATCCAGCAATCTGTTCTTTAAGAAGTTCAAAGTGATTCTGATGCATGCTAAAGTTTGAGAACCACTGATACAGAAGTAAAAATTCGTGAATGATTAAAGGAAAGAAGGAAACTTACTTTTTGAGCACCTACTATAACTCAAAGGCTTTATATACCTGACATCATTTAATCTTAACAAGAGTCCAGTAAGACAGACATTGTTACCCCATTTTTTTTAAAATGATGAAACTAAAATTCAGACTGAGCAAAGTGTCCAAGGCTAGGAAGTGGAACAGCCAGGCCTGTCTAAGGCCAAAGCCCCTTCCACCAAACACCACTGCCTGGGACCAGTCTATCAGCAGTGCCATCTACTTTACTGTGTTATTTATTACTTAGCATGTGTATGTGTGTTTACCGAATCATTCTTTTTGCCTTTCTTCCTTGAAGGATACTAGTTCCACAAGTGTTTCCAGGAAAACCCTGCCAGAAATAAGCCGAATTAACCAGTCTCTGACAGAAAAATGGATAGCAGTGAGAAGAGGAAGTACTGAACACGAAGAGGCTAAGAGGTTACTCTGTCTGATAAATTATAAACCACTTTTATCTGGTTCTGAAGCCTTGGTCATTTTAACCTAGATATAAGAAAGAGGTTGTGGGCTTTGTTATCAAGGCATTTGCATTTCAACCGTGGTCCTCTTGTGCCACCTATTAGCTTGAAGAATTCATTGATGTATTAATCATTCATCTATTATTGAACAAAGGTATATCGAGGCCATATAACATCCCAGGTACCTTGCTGGGTGATGGAGATGCAGGAGTGAGTCAAAAAGCTTTTTGTCTTCACAAAGCCTTCAGTACGGTGAACTGTCTTTATAGCTTACTCTCTGGAGCTCCATACATTTTGGTTTTCAGTAGGATAATTTGTATTTAAATCTAGATGATTTGAACAAATCACTTTTGAAAAGAAGAGTTGTGAGATTTAACAGTAGTATGCACAAAGTACCCATCATTTGGGAGACCTTTGATCTTAGTTAGTATCATTGATGACTCCATGTCATAAGTTACTTACTCACACATAAGAATAAAGGAGACATGCTTTATAGTATTGTTAAATCTGTATTTTATTCTCCAGACTTGCTGGAGTTACAAAGCTCTTTGAAAGAGTTAAAGAGGCTTGGATGCTTCTACCTGGGGGAGGCCTCCCCCTCCCCCACCACCCCATTTCAAATCCTTGCCTTCTCAGTCTTCGTTGGTATGCACAAAAACATTTCTGCTGGCACACAGCAAAATTTGTCTGCTCTCACAGAAGTTTTAGTTGAGATATTAAACAGACCCTCTTAAATAGTTAAGTTTGAAGGCTTAGGTGTTCTCTATGTCTTGCTCTTACATGACCTCAGAATATATGAAAGATGTTTTGTTTTGTTTCTTCCTCTCTGTTCTTTGCTTCCTATAAAAACTCTCAGCTTGCGTTTGCTCAGGGAAGTACCTCCTAGTTTTTGCTAGGAGATAGGCTTCCATCCATGAATCTTTTTGAAATAAAGTCTATAAAATAACCTTGTCAGAATATATATGTTTAAAAGTAAGTTGTAATTTCACCTTTATGTTATTACTTTTGTAGTGAAATTGGAATGATATTTTCATCTCCTGCTTGTCTGACTGCAAGTTTTTTAAAGAAAAGGTAATACTGACATGAGATTTACTTTCATTTAAAACTCTATAAAGATAATATATTGTTATAGTAAAGATATAATATCACTATGGAGATAATAAATTGTTATCTATGCTTTTTTAACAAGAGGATCATAAAATGTGCCATTTTGTGTGTGTGTGTGTCAAGTAAGTTATTTTGAAAGGAGGCAAGTTTTAAGAAAACATTTTATATCTGAAATGTAAGAGTGTAAAACAAATAGTGATATGTGAAGTTAGGAAGTATCCCTTTCTATCTGTTTATGTGGAGTTTTTTGTTTTGCATTTCTTGTATCCAAAGTGGAACTGGAGAAACTATTTCCATTGATGTGGACTTACAGGTGGCAAGAGATACCTTCAAGAAGTTAACAGAAAAGGAATGGATTTCTTCCCTGGTAATAGTCAAGACTTACTTAAATATAACAATAGAATTTACTGCAGTTTAATTTTGTTGGGAGCTGGGTGAGAGGGGATTGTGATTGGGGTGAAGACAGTGAGCTAAAATTTGTTATGAGATGGCTGTATTCCACATTATATTAGGTGGAGACATTTATTTTTTCATTGAACCCTTCAATATATAATAGACATTATGCTTTAATTTTCAATATAAGGAAACCACTGCTCAAGAGGTTAACAGCCTCTAGCATGACATATGAAAACAGTACTGGTTTGGGAAGCATCCATCCCAAGCTTAACCTTGTTAAAAATAAAATTTTGACAATATTAAATTTGTGTATGAACTCATAAGCTTTATTTTTTAATTCATGAATCGGAATGTCTGGTCTGGAAGTCAGACAAGACTTCTGGTGCAAAGCACAGACATACAGGAACAAGGAAACTATACTGGGCAAATTTCAAATTGGCTAGTGGGCATTTTCTTTCCTTATTTGGAATTAAGGGAAAATTTTGAACTAGGTTAAATTAAGCAAGTAAGTCCTAATTGGCTAGCTTAGGTTTCCATTTCCAGGAAACCTAAGTAGATTGACTTGAGTTTTGGCTCCTGGTAAGGTCACGCCCTTACCAGAAATAGAAACTTAGTTAGGTTTCAGTTTGCTGACCTGGGGCTCAGTACGAGGTACTTCATCTTGGGCTTGGTTTAGTCAAGTTAACATCCTGAATTGGGAGACTGCAAAGCCTGTTCTCAGCTTAAGCTCTGCTACTGATTTATCCCTTATCCTCTTTGGGTCACATTTCCTTTACCTATAAATTGAGTTGATTTCATCTTTAAGGTCCATTTCAGTTTAATATTTTGTGACTTAGGGTTGGAAGGGAGAGGAGGGAAAGTGTTCCCTAATTCATGACCAAATTATTTTTTACGCGTCCTCTTCCGACAGCAGCACATACTATAAATGGGATGCTTGCATCCCAAGAACTGAAAGGCAAAGAATGCAAGTGGTTCTTGTGTTTCCCAGTGATCAGATAGCAGCATGTACTATAGGTGGGGCAATAGCAGCCCAAGAAACCCGAGAAGTCAAGAATTTAACTGGGCCTTATATGTCCCAGGAATCACGAAAGGGTTTTAATGTGCAGTAGATACCCCATTTTTATTTTCAAGGTAAAGAAATAAGAATGATACAAGTTATCAAATATATTTTTAAAATGAGTTTATTTAAGTGGCATGGGAGATAACTTGGGATGAATTTCCCAGTGAGTCCAGGGAACATTCATCTCACAGAATGCTTCCTTAAAAAGGGTTCTTGGAGAACTAACTTTTGGAACACTGCATACTATTACCAAATCATTATGCACGTTAGCAAATTAAAGGTTCTATGATGTCATACACTGAAAAAAATCTAACTTTTTTGATTCTATGTTTCTCAAAGCTATTTGACTTTGTGACCCTGTTTTCCCCTGCATAGCACGCATTAACATTCCACAAATATAGTGTTCTGCTGGACCTGTGGAAAAAAACACATAATAGTAAGAACATTAATGTAGTAACAACAACAACAATAGTAATAATATTACGTCTTTCACAGTTTACAAGGCACTGTTACATATATCATTGTATTTAAACCTTATGACATATAGAGGCAGGAACTATAGTTAAAAGAGTATTTATTAGAATAAATAGTGCTTTAACAACAACCAACTTCCAAATCTCAGTGGTTTAGTACAATAAAGACTTATTTCTTACATCATAGTCCAGTGAGGGTGGGAGGTAGGAGGCACTTGCTGGGGGGAACTCTTTATGGGTGAACTCAGGCTTCTTCCTTCTGGAGTCTCTGAGCCCTAGTGCCTAGCTCCATTGTGTTTGATCAGCAGATGAGTAAAGAGTATGGAGGTTCACATGAGAGGTTTTAGGGGGCAGACCTGAAAGTGTTATATATCACCTTCTCCCATGTTCCACTGGCTAGAATTCAGTCACATGGCCCGACCTAACTGCAGGGTAGGCTGTGAAATGCCTGAGTACATACCCAAGTGAAGCAGGATCAGTCAGATGAACAAATGGCATTATATCTACCACAGCAGATTTTAGGTCAGATAAATCTGGGTATGGTCTCCTGCTATGTCTTTCCTTCCTCATCTGTAAAATCAAGGTAAAAAAACTTTCTTACATCATTGTTAAGAAGATTAAATAAGAAATGATTTATATGAGATCGCCTGACACATGGTGGATATTCCATGAATGTTCAAACTAATACAAATATAAACCCATACAAATTCGTGTTTTTGTGTATGTTCCAATTTAAAATTTACCTTTAGGTGAAATGAATACTATAAAAATTGGGAGCTATCTTTCCTCTGAAAAGTTTTCTACTAATGTATGAGAAAAAAAGAAAAAATGGGTTGTGTTTTGTGTGTGTGTGAGAGAGAGAGAGACAGAGAGAGAGAGGCAGCTTTCCTTTAAAAAGGAGGAACAGAAGTGTGACCTGGGTAAAATATTGCCGTTGAAGGGCTTTGTATTAGTTCTGAATCCACTATTCACTCAGTATGTCCATGCACATGTCATTTCACATTTATTTTCTTCATACACTCTGATATAAAATGGAGGGGATTACTGTCACATCAGGGGCCTTTGGGAGGCTAGAGTGATGGGGTTTAAACAGTAGGTTTCAGAAAAACTAATTAATTATTCCAATGGGAACATGGTCCTGTAGCTTGTTTCTCACGATACTCTGTATCTAATATATCCTGTACCTTTTCCCTGATCCTATCTTGACCACAGATAACCACGTGTCTCAGGGACAACCTGCTCAAAAATCTCCCATTGCGTTCTCCACATCAAGAAGCTTTAGAAATTTTCCTCCTTCTCCCAGAATGTCCTGTGATGCAGGATTCTAAAAACTGGGAGAGCCTGGTGGTTCCATTTGCAGAGGCTGTTTGTAAAATGAGTGACCAATCTTTACGAGTCCTGAGTAAGTTTGATTATATTTTATGGTCACTTTATCTATACACGTACGGTTGCCATGAGTTGGAATTGACTCAATAGTCATGTGTTTGGTTTTTTATCTGTACCCTCAAGGAAAAGTTACTGAAATAGAAATTGTAGCAAATTTTGGATAGACGTTTCAAATGTTTGAATACTTGGTCTGTGAATTATTGAAATGATTAACCTAAAGCTATTATAATTATTACTCTTATGCAAAGCAAGTGTAATTCTTAGAATTGGATACGGCTTTGACATCAGAGTTTGGTAACTATAGAGTATTCAGTTAAGATAAAATATACTTTAAAACTTTTTGTCCATGTTGTTTTGAAATGTTAGATATTTTGACCAGAGGTGTTGATAAACAAATGTTAAACTTTGTGTGTTATTTTTGTTTAGTTTATTTTATTCAGTACTATGGGATGTTATCTTACACAGTGTCAAGCTAATGTTTAATAAGGTTCAAAGCTTAAAATATATTAAGTATATATACAGTGAAATATAAGCCACTCTCACCCCAGTTCCTCTTCCAAAAGGTAGCTTTAAATTCTAGTTTCTTGTGTAGCCTTCGAAAGAGTCTTTATTTATTCAAATATATTCTTTCTTTTTTTAATGGTAGCATACCATTCACATTCTTCAACAACTTGCTTCTTCCCGCTTAACAGTATATCATGGAGATCATTCTGTTATAGGACGTATAGAACTACCTCATTCTATTAAATGGCTGAATAGTGTTCTATTGGGAGGATATACTATAATTTATGTTTAACTAATCCCTTGTTAATATAGAATTGTTTCCAATCTTTTGCTATTATAACAATGCTAAAATGCATTTCTTTGTACACATATAAGTTTACACATGCAGAAAAAATTCCAGGAAGCAAAGTTACTGGGTCAAATTATATGTGCATTTTAAATTTTAATGTATTTTGCCAAATGACCCTGCTTAGAGGTCAGGACCATCATGTCACCGAACTCCAAGGGGGTGCCATTGACATTGTAGTCTATGTAAATTGTACCCCTGTATTGGGTACCGTGGCAACCCTGATAGAGGATGCACCAATTTACACCTCGGTAAAAAAATATGAAAGTATTAGCTCAGATGCTTTTCAACACAGTGTTATTAAACTTTGATCTTTGCCATTCTGGAAGTAAAAGCTAACAACTCTTAATTTGCATTTCACTTATTCTGAATGAGGTTGTGCTGGTTTTCTTATATTTCAGATCTGTTTTTACATCATATTCTGTGAACTGTTGGTTCCTTCTTGCTCATATTTTCATTAGTTGTTAGTATTTTTCTTTTTTATTTAGGGGTTCTTTAACTATTTAGGCAATAAATTAATCTTTTATCAATAATATGAGTTGCAAATATTTTTTCCTTATGTTATCGTTTTAATTTTTTTTACTTCATAGTATTTTTGCCATAATTTTTTTTATTGTACTTTAGATGAAGGTTTACAGAACAAATAGTTTCTCATTAAACAGTTAGTACACATATTGTTTTATGACATTGGTTA